GCATGAGCATTTACAGTGTTCAGGTACCAGGCTAAGCAATCACAGATAGCATCTCATTTAATCCTTAAAATAATTGCGTGAGGCAGGAATTGTTGTCCTTCTGTGTTAGTTAAGGAAGCTGAGAGGTTGGATAGTTTACCTGAGGTCCCAGGGCTCACAGCTGGTGGGACCAGGATTTGATTCCAGGGTGCCTGTTGGCTCAGGCTCCTAACATCAGGATCTGCTGTCCTTGGGGGAAAAAGTGCCTGCAGGTCGCACCCTGCATGGGAAGGTGGCTCGGATGCCATGATTCCAGTTGTCAGGCCTCCAGGCCCTGCACCTGGTTAGTGTGGCCTGGAAAACCCCAGAGAGTTTGGCCTTTATCTTCTTGACTGTGGTTTTATTAATTTTTGCATGTTAAGGATTAACTAATGTTCATCTCTGCCCCCATATGAGAAAATAAAGGGCTAATCAGACCTCTGAATAGTCAGTATTTGATTATTCATCAGCTAGAATAAGCAAGGCAAATTTGTTAGTTTCTCGGTTCCTATAGGACTTGGCACATGTTTCTACAGATCCTTAGGAATAATGATGAAAATGCTCTTTGTGTGCCATAATTAGAGATTCTTTCATTTCACAAAACTCTTTTTAAAAAATTACTACCCCCGAGACTAAAGAAAGCCAGTCATGAGCTCATGAATAGAGAATAAGCAAATGTACCAAATGCCCTCCATTGTGGCTCTAAATAAAACGGCAGTTTTTAGAGCTTTGGACTGAAGTCATTCTTCTGTAGTTTCTATTAAAATCTGGACACTGTCCTTGAGATTGGCATTCAGTAAAGTACCCTGAATGGCCCAAGAAAATCTGAATTGGCTTCTTGGAGCTACCTGGAGGCTTAAGCATTTTGATTAAACAAAATAAACCTTTATTACCCCCAGACCCTTAGAAGCTGAAGACAAGGACAGGGAGATGGTTGGGGAATCATAATTTGGAAATCTTTGGCTCTTCTGAAGATGCCAGCTCCCATCTGCATGCCTGGAAGTTAAGGATTGTGTTTCTTTAAACCATAGAAATAGACAGACGTGGCTGTCGGCACTCACCTGGGCTTGTCTCACTTGGATAAATAGAAAGTAAAAGTCACATAAAGCACTATTGAACTTGGATTTCCCTTTCCTCCTGTCCCGATTCCTTGGCTCTCACTTGATATGCATTTTCCCATAAATGTGTTAGCAGCCAATAACCTTTTATTCCTGGTGGACTTGTGACTTTAGTCTCTTTAAAGGTGATCCTTTCTGAAACCAGAAACCCACCTTCTTTGGGGTGAGGAAGCATTTCATCCCAGTGGGCACATCAGCAGCAGATTGCTCTTCGCAGTGTATTGCGTGATTAGTGTTAAATTCTTGTCATTGTCCTGAATTGAGTTAGATCCCTAAAATTAAGTGTCTTCAATTGCCCGCAGTTTTCCACATAACAAATAACACTACTACTTTGTAGAATTTTGTGCAAATCAACTAATCATTCCTTTGCCGTTCCTGAAATCTTTCAAGTGAAGATCACTGTATACAGTCCCATGACATGGAATTGTTTCCTGTGACATCCCAGCCCTCATGCAGGCCCTTCACCCTTCCAGCCCACCAGGCACCGCATAGTACACCCTCAGTTAACTCAACCTGTTGAGCAACTATGCTCTACTAGACACCCTTTTCCTAAAATGTACATATTTAAAAGGTCACCCAACAACTGGTAGAGTCTTAGCAATGAAAACCTTGAGGTTTTCTGAGCTTAACCCTGGGCCATGCAAACCCTACTTTTTGCCCATTTTAGGGACTCTTGCCTTTGACATTAGCTCTCCACTCTCCTGCAATGCTCACCTCATCCTGCCCAGGCAGATCAGGGATGAATTCCCTACTCTCGTGCCACTCAGAGTTCTCTCTAGGACATTCACTTATGCAAGGAACCAAAGGGTAAGTAACGCTCCCCTGAGAGCCAGCATTTACACTGCGGTCCAGTCAGGTTCTGGACGGTTTCTGGTTGAAACAAGGGTGCTATTGGAAAACTGACCTTTGCTCCAAGTTGTCACTTAAAATACAAAATTCCAAGGCCTTTAATTTACTCCTTTGTTTGTTGTGTGCTTATTTTAAAGTAACACATGATAATGACATATATAGTGAAATTTTTAGACTAAAACAAATCAGTAAGAGATGAAAGGAAGAGATAAAAACTCTAGCAAATGTTTTTAGCACAAGGAGAGAGCCCTGCAGCAAAGACCTAACATGAAATAAAATGCTCCAAGGAAATTTTTAATTTCAGCATATAATAATGTTGGTTCTTTCATTAACCAGCAGTTCTTACTTAGAAGCCGAGATTCTTAAGAATACAAATCAAGCCCTTTTTATTGCGATTGTGCATTATAAATTTTGGTTTGTGGGATATTTTTTAAGCTGACGGACATCTGATTGTGGAATGTAGGATTTTCAAATTATCTAATTAATACATGAGTGGATGGTTCTGGAGTCTGGGTCACCTTTAATAAGAAATATGTGTGTTTGTTTACACTTTACTTTCTGTAACCAAGAATGGTTGACAACTGGTTAATATCTGACACTGATGATGTAGTTGTATTTTATGCTACATGGATGGTTGTATTAATGCATTTTTCACCATGCTTTGCCCTTTTTGAAACTTCTTTGTCTTAATTACAGTCAAGAAAAAGCTTGGCTTCATTCCCAACCTACGTTGAAGGTAAGAGCTAAAAGGAGATATTGAGCACGGAGTCATTCATGAATCTTTTAGCGCTTGGGGCACTGGAAGCTGGGCTGGAAGACGATAGTGGAGGAGAAGGCCCACAGAGCCAGCTAACTCACAGTCTTCACAGCCTTAGAATCTTAGACTAAAACCACAGTAGCTGTGAGCCTCTCAGACCTCCTCCTCCCTGCCTTTCCTGATTCTGTCCATGGAACCTGAGCCAGGGGGTGGGGGCTTTGGCCCGCTTAGTAATGATCACATTGGATTTGAAACCCAAGTCTTCCCACCTCTATTCCAGTACACCTTACACCCTCCAAGGGCTATTTTAGTGGGAATAAGCTTTAACTAACGGGGAGAAATTTTGTCCTCTTAGAAAAAACACAAAAACAAACCAAAAAACCTGCCTAATAATTCCCACCTCTTGCTTGGATGAGTGAGTAAAAGAAACGTTAAGGGCTTACTCTTTTCCAGGTACTGTTCTAAGCACTTTCGATGTAATAACTCATTGAATCCTCACACCTATCTTGTGCAGGGGGTTTTATCACTATCCCCGTGTTATGTATGAGGACTGAGGCATCGAAGGGGGGGCAACTTTCCCGAGATCACACGGTTAGCAAGTAGCAGAGCCAGGCCGTCAGCCAGCATCTGACTGCACAGTTCTCCCTGTACTCTCCGCAGCTGCCACGCGTGGTTGTGCCGGCTATTCACCGCACATGCGGCCTAGTGGGGCCCAAACTCTGCCCACTGGCCACCCCAGGTTGAGGTCAGGCCACACAGAGTGCCCATTTCTTATCCACACCAAGACACTCCAAGCGAGAGGTGACACCGACCTGGACCGGGAGGAGGGCGGGTGCTTTCTCGGGCAGGGTGGGTTGTCATTTCCTTGAGGGAGGATTTTCTGGGGCCTGAGCATGCCCAGGCGTCACTTTGGGGTCATGGCTGGTCTCTGGATCCTGCGAGTAAACAACCAGTGTGTCCTACTGCCTGGGCACGAAACCGCTCTGAACCTTCAGGTCTGAAGCCCAGAACATGCTCCTGGGCGAGGGTCAGGACTCAGGTCCCATTCCCAAGTAACCTCTGAGTTCTCTGTGCCGTAGTTGTCAAGCTCCACAATTCTAGGAGAGCAGCTTGGGGAGGGATAGGAAGTTTGGAAACTCCTTTCTTCTTCATCGCCTGTGCTCGGGCTTAGCATTAACATGAGGTGAGGAGATATATATACACCGAGTGGCCAGATTATTATGACCACCTGACGTTTGTAGCCAGTTAGCTACATTTCGCGCTGAAGTTGCTAGAGGGCCAGACCATTATAAATGTCTGAATAGCACAACATACCTAAGTATCATTGCTGATCAAGTTCATCCTATCATGTTGATGGTGTATCCCAGTGGAGATGGCTTCTTCCAAGACAATGTGCCATGCCACGGTGCTCGTATTGTGCAGGAGTGGTTTCAGAAACATGAGGGAGACTTTACCTTGCTTAGGTGGCCCCCACAATCACCAGATCTCAGTCCAATTGAGCATTTGTGGGCAGAAGGTGTGTGTGTGTGTGTGTGTAGTGTGTGCTTGCTCACCCCCAGAGCAACACAAAGGCATCACTGAAAAGAAAAACACATTCCAAAAAACCAAAATGAACCCTGTGATTCTTTGACGTAGGAACATTATAACTTTTGTTTTTTAATAGCACACTAAGCCTAAAATGAACTTATGAAATTAGGGTGCCTTTTTTTGCCGAGTATGATAGAGTGACAGTGGCATTTGATTATAATCAGTTTCCCTGAAGGATAAAAGGCATGAGATTATATCTGGAATGCATAATTTGTTTAGACCCAATATTTCTGTCTCCTGGCTGCTTGACATTTACACAGTCATTTAAATATTATTTGGATTGCTCTTAAACACATCTGCATATCCACACTTACGAGGCCTCAAGAGGGAGCCTTTCAGTGAGTAGAGCTAAGACAGAGACAACTATAGGATGGCATTGGGAGTCCCATAGAGAGGTGGTTCGTTTTTCTTTTTCTTTGACATTGGTTATTTTCACAAGTGAGTATTTTTAAAAGTGACTCTCCCAGATGAGATCTTTTTTCTCAGTGCCTCGTTGACAAAAGTGACTGTGTTTCAGGAACATCGTACATGCATCATGGAAGTTTATCATGGAAGACTGATCATCTTCTACATTTTACAAAACACAGTGTGGGTCCAAACTTGTCCTTACGTTATTTTAGTTAGACTCCTGCTTCCCCACCGTACAACTCAACTGTATATTGTAAATAACCTGAATTCGTCCCACATCCACCGAAGTTTCAGGGTGCGGAGCATATGGTTGTTGAGAAGAATGGAAATTACCAGTATGGCTGGGTACCACCCAGTGTTTGCCTAGAAGTCTTTCCCAGAAAGATCGAGAATAAGACAAATAACAGGTTCCCTTATTTAATTACTACACAGATACTTTGTGAAGGCATTTCCTGAAACATTGTTAATTCCTTTGTTTCAAGCACCACCTTGGTTTTAGAAAAAATGAATACATTATTTTAGGTCTGCCCCCTGATAAGTAGCTTATCATGGGAAGTGGCTGTTTAAGCTCAAGATGAGCTTCATCTTGAAGGATAAAAATTAAAACCATCTCAGATTAGCTCTCCAAATGGAAAGAGCAAATTGTTTCCATTTCAAGCTATCTAATTTAAGACCTGGAGGTTTTAACTGTGGGTTACGATGTATATTTTAGTCTCCCAAAATACAGCCTTCAAGCCAGAGAAAATACATGTTTTCATTGCAGAATTAGAATGCCTTGTTAGTGCATCTGTTATAGAGTTCGTTATATATTAGTCCCAGACGTGTTTTAACTTCAAATAACGTTTACAGGAGATTATGGTTAGAGTCAGATACCTCCATTTTAATTATTTAAAACTAAGGTTGGGTTTTTTTTTTCTAAAATATATTTTTATTGATTCCAGAGAGAGGAAAGGGAGAGGAAGAGAGAGAAACATCAGTGATGAGAGAGAATCACTGATTGGCTGCCTTCTGCACACCCCCTACTGGGGATTGAGCCACAACCCAGGCATGTGCCCTGACCAGGACTCAAACCCTGAGCTCCTGGTTCATGGGTCAGTGCTTACCCACTGAGCAACACTGGCCGGGCTAAGGTTTGATTTAAAAGGCTGATGAATGAAACAAATTCCCATTTTCCGTGGAACTGATCTGTATGCAGATGCAGGCCAGGAACTTATGGCCTATAAGGCAGCATGAGATGGCAGCTTCGGAGTAATGTTAGCTGCATCCCAAAATTGGGGTTAGAGGCTATTATGGGAACCAAACATTCTGAAACAAATATCTCAATTCTTTTATTTATAAAATTTACTTCCCCCATTATAGATAAAATGGAGAGGGGAGATATGAATCAGTAGCAAGTCAAGGAACTGCTTATTTATTTGATACCCCCTGGGTGACAGGTGCTGACCAGACACAAGAGAGCCAAAGATGACATAGCCCCTGTCCCCAAAGAGCTCACAGTGTGACAGGAGAAACAGTAGCCTTCATGAAACGTTTCATGTCCTGTATTTACATAAATCTGCACATCATTTCTCACAGTAAATGGTCTGGGTGAAGTAAGTGACTATAAGAAAAAATTGTTCCCGTTATTTGAAGATGAGGGGTGAGTGGAGGCAGATATGGGTCCCACAGACTGCTCAGGGCCCTCAGGGGCCGGCCCCCTGGGCCAGAGGTGAGCAGTGGGGAGGGGTGTATGCAGGGGTTGGGCAGGCCCACCCCAGAGTGGCTTCACTCACCAAGTGGCTCTGTGTGTTACAGTTCCCGGACCTTGTGACCCTGAAGACTTAATCGATGGAATCATTTTTGCTGCCAATTACCTTGGCTCTACCCAGCTGCTCTCCGACAAAACTCCCTCCAAAAACGTGCGCATGATGCAGGCCCAGGAAGCGGTGAGCAGGATCAAGGTGAGGGGGGACCGTGTGCTCCGCGGGGGTGGGGGGCAGCGGCTGGTACCTGAGCCATCCACAGTGGTCACCCCAAACCTCACTGACTAGTCCTGAGGGTAGAGGAGAGTGGATTGGGGTGATGTTGCAGGCAGTGCTTACACATGTTCCTGCTACAGTTCTAAACAGAAAAAATGATTTCTGAAGTGGACTGCAGTCCTTACATGGAAGCACTGTATGTTTGGGTTGTTCTTAATGGCCACTCTGGAGAAAAAGCATACATATGATCCTGAACTTCCAGAAGTTGACTTGACGAGGACAGATATCGTGTTGAGTGTTACCTCTACGTGAGGGTTCTATTCCTGTATTTCCACCGACAGCGGGGTTCAAACTAGGTCCTTTGCTTGGAACCTGCTGGTCCTGCTCAAGCTCAGTTGAACTGGTTTGCTTCAAGGGAAATGAACCCTTTGATCAGATCTAGCCTGGCTAGCCTGAGCAAGTCTGGGCAAGGCCAGCCCCGTTTAAACTCGTCTGAGTCCGTCATAACCTGCTTGAATCTGTTCCACCGAGATGGACAAGGAGCGAGCCTGTGTTGTTCAGGAAGAACCACTTTCATCTGGTTTAAATCGTTCACAACCGGTTTGAACCAGCCAGACTGGTGTGAGCCCATGGAAACACAGAGCCCTCGAATCTCCACCCGAGGCCAGACACACCTCAGGTCTACGGAGACACTTACCGTGTCTTCACATCACTCCAGTGTCCTCAGGGGCCGCCCGCGCCCAGAGCCACCGGGCAGCCACGCTGGCGCCACAGGGAGGGCCTCCCTGTGGACACCAGAACCAGGCATGTCAAGCAAGAGGGACTAGGTTAGGGCACTCCAGGGTTGGTTGTATCCATTTCCAACTGGTCAAAGTCAATTCTCACCTCAAGGAGCCATTCACGTTTTTATATCTTCTCGCTCACACACTCACAGGTCTCACGCTGGTATTGGTGTGACAGCGTGGAATGAGAAAGCATGGGGAGAAGGCAGGCGCTGAGAGTCCTTGATTCTCACTTAAGGACAAAATACTTCTTGAGCATCCGGGTGTTCAAGGCTGTGCGGGGCTCCGGAGAGAGGGAAATGGCGGTTGAGACAGTGAGCGCCTGACCCTCAAACTCAGCAGCACAAATGAGAAATGAACTGAGTCAGCAATGAGGCCCTGCCCTTAAGGATTCGTCGTTATAGAGGAAACCCTCACTGCAGCTTTGGATAATATTACTCGGGTTTGGGGAATTGGGATGTATAAACGAGAGAGTAATTTACAGTAGCCCAATGTCAAAGTCACTGACAGTTTCACCCGTGTGTCAGGGACCCACTTCACCACTTCGTCTGGGCAGCCCAGACCTTGTCTCTGTCCTAGAGACCCTGCGACCACCAGGCCCACTTCCGAGGTTTCCTTTTTTTCTCCCATAATCAGCCTTTCCCAGGATGATTGACAGTAGGAAGGTCCACTGCCTTCAAAGGAAGTCCCACCTCCTACTCACAGAGGTGCCTCTTGCAGGCACCGAATTGAGATATTTGTTTCAGAATGTTTGGTTCCCAACACAGGCTCGCTCCTTGTCCATGGTTCCCAGCAGGACAGCTCCATGAAAACGTGTCTGCCTGACCTTCAGACCTTCATGGTCTTTCAGACTCAGTAATTCAATCAGTAGAACATTGGGTTCCTGTTGAGCTGCCTGGCCTGATTTCTTCCCACTGTCACCCCTTCTCATAGAGGGGTGACATCAATACTGCCCAGTCCTCCCACAGTTCTTAATCTAGGATCTCCCAGGCATAGCCTTCAAAGCACGAACACAAAGCTCTCTGAGAGAACATGCTGCGTCTCGGGCTTCTTTCACCCAGAGCAGTGAATTTGGAAAACTAAATCTTCAGGGTCATAGTTCTGACTCCTCATGTCCCACAGTCACCAGGCACAGCATGTTATGATTTTGTTGAATTAACACTTGTTAAGTAGAGCCCTGGGGTGCCAGATGGTGAGCAGAAGACCACAAGAGAAATTAAAATCGAGGAGTTATTGCTCACAGGTCCTGGAGGAAGGCCTAGAGGGGCCATGTAGGGAGGTCACGGCAAGGAGAGGCGGAGAGGGAGAGGAACATGCCTAGGCCAGGACCTGGGAGCTTGGCCTTAGTAGGATCCGTGGGTGGGGTGCTTAGGGTTCCTGAGCTAGGATGAGATGGGTCAATTCACACCAGAGGAGTCAGGATTCGGTAAGCTCCCGGGGGTCTTATCTAAGGAGACAGATGGGGAGGGCCCTGGAGGTGAGGAAGACTGTTGATCAAGGGCTGTTGGGGGAGTCATGTTAGGAGCTGACTTTTGCTCACGCCTGTGTGGGCTGTTATTATCTAGGGAATGTGCCTGCATGAGGGGACTAGTGTCCTTTCAAAGTCACTGCAGACCGCTTGGCCAAACAAAAGAGATGCTGAGGCAGCAGGACCACCGATAGCGTAGCTAAGCTCTCAACACAACACTTAGTTCCCCAGCCTAACAGTGCTGCCAGCTTCTGGGGTCAATGGGAGTGCAAAGGCCTGGTGCGCCTTGCTCAGTGGTTCCAGACAGACAGGGACCACCTCCCACAGCGGCGTTGGAGATGGGCAGGGTACTTGGATTGCCACTGTATCGGGGGCATTCTACTGGCTCTGTGGGTCAGAGGCAGGGATGCTTGATGCCCTGTGGTGTCCAGGATGGAGTCACACGCCAAAGGTGTATCTCCTCCAAAACGCCAGCTTGCCACCCCCCAGCACTCCCTGTTGGGGAACACTCCCAGGGCCCACTCAGTGAATCTTCCGGAACAAAGCCACCGTCCATCCCCAAACGAGTACCAAAGACCCCTGAGACCGGAAGCTGTGTGTTGCTTTGAGATTCGTTTTCTCCTGGGTTCTGTCCATCAAGGTTTAAAACCTGTGCAGGGTCGGGTTTCATTCGGGGCACGTTGTTTATTGGCCTCCTGGACTGATAGTCCTTGACTCCTGCAGATAGGGTTTCTGTCTTTCCACTGTGAGACAGACATCCTACTCGATGACCTGGACGGGGAGCAGGCACAGGCACATCTCCCAGACATAAAGCAAGGCCCAGGGTAGACTGCGGCATCCGGTGCCAGATCCCACCCAGCGCCACACCTACTATGAACCACAGACGCACCTCGTTTTATTGCACTTCGCTTCAAGTTTCACTGTTCACTTGCATTAAAAGTTAGGTGGCTTTGTCCATCGGAACAATCAGGATGGAGGCTGTCTGGTTATAAATCCACTTTAGACCTGCCTAGAGTAGCGTAGGCATCTAAAGGACATACATTGATTTCTCCAGCAAGTGACTCTAGTGTGAGGAAGTCATCCCAGAGGGGTGAGGGTCGATGGTTACATTTCATGTATAGGTATCACTTCACAGTGTGCTGCTGGGCCTCTGAAGCAGTGGTTCTCAACCTTCTGGCCCTTTAAATACAGTTCCTCATGTTGTGACCCAACCATAAAATTATTTTCGTTGCTACTTCATAACTGTAATGTTGCTACTGTTATGAATCGTGATATAAATATCTGATACGCAGGCTGGTCTTAGGCGACCCCTGTGAAAGGGTCGTTCGACCGCCAGAGAGGTCGTGACCCACAGGTTGAGAACCACTGCTCTGCTACATTGAGGCTTTCGTTGCAAGTAATGATGAATTTTTTTTGGAAAGAGGCTTTAGAGCCAGACTGTTGAGGAATTTAGACAATATTTCAAAGGCAATATGGAGCCATTTAAAGTTTTTCAGCTGAGGAATGAAGTAGTGAAAACTTTAAGAAGATTAATCTGACAGATGTGTATAGCATGGTTTATAGGAGGGAAAAAATTACCCACAAGAAGGTCGTATATTCCCTATAGTAAAAGTCTCCACATGTGGAATGTCCTCATGTTGTGACCCAACCATAAAATTATTTTCGTTGCTACTTAATAACTGTAATGTTGCTACTGTTATGAATCGTGATATAAATATCTGATACGCAGGATGGTCTTAGGCGACCCCTGTGAAAGGGTCGTTCGACCGCCAGAGAGGTCATGACCCACAGGTTGAGAACCACTGCTCTGAAGGAACTGTTGCCTCTCGTTTGTATTGTCTGCTCTGTGTTCCTTCTACATCCATTTAAATGCCATCGGATTGCTTGCCTTTGCACCAAGCCTGATTCTTTGTCAGATTATAAGTGGAGACGATTGCGTTCAGCCCCATAGTTTATTTCTGTACCCTGCGGAAAGTTACCCTGTGGGGGGCATGCCCTGTGCTGCTCACACGTGCCCAGGAGACACTTTGTCTAAGTTCTCCCTAAGAGAGGCTGGCGTTTTGCTAGGCTACTTTCAGAGAAACAGAGAGCAGAGCAAGACTGCAGATTTCACAGTGTCCATCCAGGAAGGAAGGGAGGAAGGAGAGCTCTGTGGATTTCTTTGGAAACCTATTTAGCAATATCCTCACCACAAACTGGTGAGTCATTTCGGCCTTGGTGCTCTCCCCTAAACAGAGGCAGAGGAATTCCGTCCTCTTGTTTCCAGCTCCTCCTTCCGCCCTTCCTCCCTTCCTCCCTTCCTCCCAGGGGAATCCCATTGCCCCCCTCTCTTTCCTCTTCCCATGTTCTCTCTTTGACCTGATGGATGTTTGTTGAGCAAATACTAGACCTGAAGCATAGGCTCCCATTTTGAACCAGTTTTAATTTCTGACTGTTTATCAATTGTGGTGTCTGTCACTCACCTAGCACCAACTGTACTAGTATACCAGCACTGAATATTGCTATTGGATTTACACCTGGAGACATAAGAATTACGGTTTACTTAATTTAACACAGAATTTACAGATGTATCTGCCAATGGGGAGGGAATTTGGAATTGTGGTTTAGTTGGGAATTTCCTACTTAATGTGAAGAGAGAACAGAGGAATTGGGCTAAAAAGCAAACTGTTCCAATGCAGACCCCTGTGGTAGACTCGTAGGAGATAAAGTCAACCAAGATCCAGGCCTCGGTCCGGGGAAACGTGCAGTCTAAAGGGAGTAAAGAAGAATGTCACAGTAACAACAACGCCAGGCAGGCCGAGGACTGGGAAACTGAAAGGCTTTTCCACCCAGCAAAATATGCGAAGTCAGGTGCACCCAATGCAACAGCAGAATCAGAAGACATCTACCATTCTTCTTACTTTTTTTATCATCTTTAGAATCTCCCAAATGTATCCTTTCTGTCTTTGTTGTTCATCATTTTATAGAGGAAATAATATCTTGGCAAGTAGCCCCCTTATAACTTAGGAATGCATTACAGCAATGGTTCTCAAAGTGGGACCCCTAGCCCAGCAGTACTTGTTGCAAATGCAGATTCTCAGGCTCTGCCTTAGTCAGAAGCTGGTGAGGGTAGGGTCCAGGAGTCTGTATTTCCATAAGCCCTTCGGGAGGTCCTGATGTCCACTGACCGTCCAGGGTTCCAGAGCATCTGTGTCCAACTGAGCTCTGTCGTGTCCCAGTCAAGCCGAATGCTTCTCATTGACATGGTTCTGTTGGCAAATAAGCTCAAGAAATGCTGCAAAGTAGATCTCGTTGGAGATTTGCCACATCTGTTTTCCTATTGAAGGCTCTGAGAAGTCCTGTACCAAGGAGGTTTAGTTCACTTTCCTTAACCAGAAGCTCCCATAGTTATTTGAACAGAGTTGCAGTATCACTGTGTGATGCCTGTTAAATTAGTCTTGTTGCTAGGATTCTTTGGAACGCATTTTGGGAGAAACTTCTGGAAAGAACTTTGCTCTTTATGCTGTCTGTATCTAAAGTGCACTAAGTGGAGACCCTATATACACACACCACACACACACACACACACACACACACACACACACACACACACACACACGGTGTGGGAAGCATGCCTGGACCCTATCCAGTGTAGCCAGCTCCCTTGTCTTCCTCTCTCTCCACTCCATCTCCATGCCTCATTCCACTCTCCATGCCCACTTTATTCTCTGCTCCTCAACGGAAGATGCGGGAGGGGAGGTACTGACCCCTGCTGGGCCTCAGTAACGGCTTCATGTCCACGAAGAGTATGGTGTATATGTTTTCAGTCTTTCTACTTTTGTGAAGCTCATGTGACTAAGTCACAAGTGGTGTTTTGACATTTTTTTTTGGTCCATGCATTTTTGTAAGGATCATTCATTATCAGTTATCCCTACACCTGTAAAGACTAGCCTGTCCCCAAAGATCCGATTTTTCCATTGTTTTATAAAAAGATTTTCTTTAAATGTCAAAAATTGATGATTTAATTGTATAATTAAAATTTCTGCCCATCTAGCTTTGTCCCAGCCATGCGGTTCCCAATCTAACTTGAAGAAGCCTATGCATACATTATTTCATTTACTCCTCAAAATGGAGGGGGGTGGGGAATCCTGGGAGGTAGGTATTTTTTAACCTCATTATTTTCCCCAGACAAACAGAGGAGTTTATAGATGAAAAACCTGCCCAGATCACACAACTAGCAATTTGGAGTGTATAGTGAGACTTCCAGGTTTGAATCTCTGTTTTGCCACTTAACAGCTGTGTGACCTTAGGCAGGTTAATTAGACTCTCTGTGCCTCAGTTTCCTCTTCTGGAAGATGAGGATAATGTTGTGCCTACCTCACAGGGCTGCTGGCAGCTTTTACATTAATAGTCCTGTAGCACTTAGAAGGGTACTGTCAGCAGGGGGGGAAAGCTTCAGTAGTTGGGAGGAACCCTGGTATGAATAAGCTAAAGGGGCATAACAACAGCTAACATTCCATACCCATGGTGGATTGAGTGACTGAATGGACGGTGCCACTGTTTGTGTCCTTGCACACACCCTGCTGGGTGGTAAGCCATAGTCCATCCCAGCACACACAAGGATTTAAATGGATGCTGTCACTCTTGCTCTAAGATGCATGCTGGCCTTGTGGCTCTCTTAGACCTCTCTCTGCTGCTCCAGTTTCTCGTTCTGGCTCCAACCGCATCTGCCATTTCCACTGTTATGTCTAAATTTTACGTTATAATTTGTTCCAGGGCACTTGAATATCATAAGTGATTTAGAGATGGCATTCCTCTAATAAGTGCATAAAATATTTTTTAACTTCACAAACCTTATTTCGGCATGCCGTTCATGAAACTCAGTCTGCCTTTTGGATCCTCTTCCTTATCACCAGTTCTAGCAAAAAAAACACACCTCCAAAACAGAATTTGGGCATTCCATTGGTGGCAGACTTAATATCCTTTGAAAGGGCCCTTTCAGATCACTATTCCGTAGAGTTAAGCATTTTGACCAATAGCTGTTAGGTTCTGGTATCAAAAAATAAGGGAAATGCTTATGTTACTGCCATTTCATTTCATTCCATATCCTGTTATTTTCAGGGGAAGTGGTAGAAAACAGACAAACATTCGGATCTCACTGTAGTTGTTTATCATTGCATTATAACTGGTGCAGGTCAGAACTTCCTGATTCCACAAAAGAAGCTGTGGTGTGACGTAGCATCAATGTAGCATCAATATTTCTGCACTTCTCATGAGCGTCAGTTAGGGTAACACTTGCAGCTGCTGCCTTTAGACTTTTCCATAGCAGGCTCTTCACCAGGACCACCAGTAAGAGCTTGGGTAGCTGTGCAGCATGGGCTGCCCTAGACTCCTGGGTGTGGCACAGATGAGCTATTTGGTGCTGGGATGGCTGACTCATCCAGTTTTCCACAATGAGGTAGTACAGACAAGGCACCTTAGTCATTAGTGAAATAAAGTTGTGCTGCTGAGAGCAAAAGAGCTTTCTACCAGGTGAGTACCAAGAATGTGAGAGAGCAGACCTTCTTCCACCCCACCCCATCACCACAACAGCGTTCTGGTTTGGCCATTGACTCACCATTATTCGTACAGGATCTTCGTGTGTATAGCAATCCCTATTGAAAGCCCAGAAATTGCATCCAGATATAGGTGAATTATAGTCATGTGACAGCAAACACAAATATCCTATATAATAAAAGGCTAATATGCAAATTGACTGAATGGCGGAATGACTGGTCATTATGACACGCACTGACCACCAGGTGGCAGATGCTCAATGCAGGAGCTGCCCCTTGGTGGTCAGTGCACTCCCATGGGGGGAGCGCTGCTCAGCCAGAAGCTCTGAGCTGGGCTCAGGGCTGGCTAGCACAGCGGCTGTGGTGGGAGCCTCTCCCGCCTCTGAGGCAGCACTAAGGATGTCTGACTGCCGGCTTAGGCTGACATCCCTGGAGGGTTCCCAGACTGTGAGAGGGTGCAGGCTGGGCTGAGGGAACCCTTCCTCCCCCCAGTGCATGAATTTTGTGCACTGTGCCTCTAGTAGTGCTTATAATGCACCAGGCATTGTTCTAAGAGCTTTGCATGTATTTATCCTTAGGACAGTCCTATAAGGTCAATACTATTTTTATCCTCATTTGACAGATGAGTAAACTGAGGTACGGAGATGTTAAGTTGTGCACTCCACGTCACACAACTAGTTAGGTAGCGGAGCCAAGATTCAATTTCAAGCAGCTCGACCCCAGAGTCTGCTCTTATCAACTTTGCTTTTATTTATGAGAAAGAGGGGGATATTACATTCATTTCTAGTTAGGTGTTGGCTATAAAATGTTCACAAATTTAAGGCAAGAAGTATTATTAAAGAGGGAAAACAATAAAAGATCAAGTCAATAGGAAGACATAAACATCTTAAATATGTATGCACCTTATAGCTATGAAATGGACAAAGCAAAGATTGACAGAAGTAGACATGGACAAATTCACAGTAACAGCTGGAGATCTAAACACACTTCTCTTAATACATATTAGAATCAGCAGACAAAAAGTCAGCAAGTACATACAAGAGTTGAACCATACTCTTAAGTCATCATATTTAACCTAATTGACATTCGTAGAATCCTATCCTCAACAACTGCAGAATGCATCTTTTGAAGTCCCCATGACACGTTCACCAACGTCAGTCACATTCGGGGCCATACAGGCTAAGACTGAACACATTTCAAAGGATTGAAATCAGGGTCTATTCTCTGTCCCAGTGGCATTAAGACATGAATAACAAAAAGATAGGAAAATCTCCAAATGTATTATTACGAATACAATTCTAAGTAAACCAAAGCTCAAAAGAAAAATCATAGTGGAAATTAGAAAATGTTTTAAGTGAAATGATAATTAAATTGCAACAAATCAAAAAGTGTGTCATATAGCTAAAGCAGTGCTTGGAGGGAGAGTCATAGCAAGTATATCAGAAAAAAGTTTGAAAATCCATCATTTAAGTTTTCATCTCAAGAAGCTGGGAAAAATCAGCAAATTCAGCTCAGAGAAAGTTAAAAAAAAAAGGTGTAGGCTGACATCAATGAAATAGAAAACAGGCAGATAATTACGAAAACCAACAGAAACAGAAGTTGGTTCTTTGAAGGCATTGATTGCAGCTAAGTATAAGATTGCAACTCAATAAATTTCTTTCCCCCTACTCTCCCTGCCATCTACTAAATTCTGAGTTAGGAAATCCATTGTCTGCAGAGTGGGACTTCTTTTTAAGTCCTCCCTCAGCAATACTTTATACCACTATCAGTATTAGTTTGTCAATTCCCTTTTCAACTTTGAGTCTCTGCAAATTCTTTTCTAACTGTTCTCCTGTCTCTGTTTGTTCCATGCTAAGCAGATGGCCCAGAAATTAGCCAAAAGCAGGAAGAAGGTGCAGTACAAACAACTTCATCAGCTTGGTGTTATGCCTGTTCTTTCCATTTATTTATGTTTTCCCTTTTTATTATTTCGTGTTTTTGTTTTCTGCATCCAGCAAGTTTTTGTTCAGATTTCTTTTTGAACCGCCCCATAAGCCAACGTTTCTCAAAACTCAGTTGCCTAAAGTGGCTGTTTTCTGTTGCTCATGAGTCATTTCACGTGAGAGGAACGGCAGGGAGCAGATTGGAGACGCTACATGAGTCCTACACTCGTGTGAAAGTTCCCACCATTCAGGCATTAATGCGGCAGGGACTTGGGTCTGTCCAATGATAGTCACGTTTGATTTGCGGACTTGTCAGATTGCTGGATGCAAAAAAGAAAACTCGCTAATAACCACGCGTGTGCGGAGTTAAGCCTTAAATGAGCCAGACGGGTGCGCTTTTTATGGCTGTGGAGCTTCTGGATGCTTATGAGCTACCCATGGGACATGGGTGCATTGGGCTCTTTCCGAATGGGGTGGGTTCAGGGTGCTGCTTCTGTGTTGCTGTGTCGGGTTGTGAACACAAAGACCCTCTGACCAGAACTGCATTCAGATGACTTCCTTTGCACCTGCTGTAAACATCGTCCCCGTCCGTGAGCGGGGCAGACTGATTTCGCCACGTTCCTCGGGCGGCAAGTCAGTGGCCCTTCTTCCTTTGCTATGTTGGGCTCCAGCAGCCTTGCAGAAAGGGCCACTGGCAACCCTCGTTCCCAGAGCCAAACCCGCTACAGGACGTCGCTGCTTCTAGAGCGGAAGCAGCAAAGGGGATTCTGTGTTCTTCCTTGGAATCTGCACATGCTAACTCTCACTCACGTGCCCATCCTCTGAGGTAACTTCAGCTCTGACAACCTAATTCTGGAGTCTGCACTGCTGTTCTGGTGACTGTGTCTCGATGCCTGTGTATGAGCTCCCCTTGCTTCTATCTCCGGGGCCAGAGGAACATACTAAGCTCTCTCTCTCGGTGCATGTTTCTTCTCAGGCTCCGGAAGGCGAGTCTCAGCCAATGACTGAAGTGGATCTCTTCATTTCTACGCAGAGAATCAAAGTATTGAATGCTGACACACAGGTATTAGCTGGCTCCCCCTTTCCCGGGGGTCAAGCTTGGCAGCATGGCAACGCAGAGACCGTACCCCTGTCCATAGAGCAGCTGTCCCCAGACGCTGGCTTCTATACACGCTAGAAGGTTGTGTCTGCAATGCCTGCTTGGGGTGGGGTGCGCTGCGCAGGGAGCCTTGGGACTGTTTTCTTAAAGACAAAAGGAAAAAAGAAACTGTGAATATTGTTTGATAATAGTTCTCATAAGTTTTTATCAGAAGATTTGTGACCTTGAACAGATTAGCTTTTTAAAAATCTTTTTTTAAAATCACACACACACACAATGCAACCATCACATGCAGGTTTTGTTTTTTTTTTATCTCTGTTTCATTTTACCTTCCCCACCAGAGAGTCTAGTGGTTGTAAAATGATGGAGATTTCTCACCTGCCTCAGGCCTCCTGGGTTATTCTTAGCCCAGGGAATTGGCCCCAGACCGGGTGGGTGCACATATATCTGCTTGGTCTTTGCTGTGAGCACCGGAGCCCCCTGCATGTGGAGCCCACGTGGCTGGGTTGTGGGGAGACAGACTTTCCCAGGGGTCATTGCACGCTGCCCCGATTTACCACCCTCTCCCCTCCCATCCAGGAGACGATGATGGACCACCCTCTGAGGACCATTTCCTACATCGCAGACATCGGGAACATCGTCGTGCTGATGGCCCGCAGGCGGATGCCACGCTCCAACTCCCAGGAGAACGTGGAGGCCTCGCACCCGTCCCAGGATGGGAAAAGGCAGTACAAGATGATCTGCCACGTCTTCGAATCTGAGGACGTAAGGGTGCTGCTTCCCCCATCTCCCTCCAGGGACCTGAACTGCCTTTGGGGGAGGGGCCAGATTCTCTATTTCTCAGGACCTGATCACATGTGTAAACATATTGAGTACCTACTGTGCGGTACTCAGCCTTCTACCCCCATTCTAGCGCTAGGCACAGAAGGCTGGGTAAAACAGACTAGGTACTCCTGAGGGGTGTAGGGAGACAAAGATAAATAGATAAATATACTTAATACAAAAGTAGGTAACGGGAAGTTTGATAATGAAAAATTAAAACTAGGTCAGGATAGAGGGCCAGAGGCTGTTTCAGATAGAATGATCAACTAAGTTCTCCCTGAGTGGGCAGATCGGACAGAGGTCTGATTAACGAGAGTGAGGAGAGAGCACGTGCAGAGGCCTGAGGCAGGGGCCTGCTGAGGCAGCTTGAAGAAATGCAAGGAGCCCAAATTGCCAGAGAGCTTACACGAGAGACGCGAAGGAGGTGTTCAGCCCGACCCATGGCGGCCTGAGCGGGTCTTACCGGGGCAACGGGACATTTGGGAATAAAGTTCTTGGCCATGTGGGCCACCCTGGAGGCTACTGGAACATTAGATCCCTGCTCACCTTCAGTCCAGCTGAGGCAGTAAACAGAGAAAATGAATGTTCAACAGAGATGGGGCCCATCCTCCCGTTCAGTCCTCTTCCCCGGGTGTGACTGGAAGCGCTGGTGAGACCACCAGCTTCCAGCTGCATTAGCATCCAAGTGTCTCCAAGGCTGGGCAGGCCTTGGAAGCTGCCCCCGGGCCGGCCACAGCCCCACCGTGGTTTTGAACTGCAGAGACCTAAGCCGGCCATGATGGTGCCATTGACTGTGCTGATGTTTTACTTCCTGCCACAGTGAAGCAGGCTCTGTGTCTCCTGTTGAGCAGAGAGAGCCGTTTCTACTTAAAGAAAACCAGTGGCAACCTTGGCTCCTTAAAGAAGCCGTTTTTCCTCCATGAACATGCTCCTCTCCTGCAGTACTTTGCCTTCCTCCCACAAGCTGGCAGAAGCAAGCTGCTTTCCCCGGGAATTGGAGCTGCCCGGCTGCAGCCCGGGGAGGAGGAGCCCTCACACTTTCTGCACCATCTTCACTGTCCGGTTCCCTGGACAAGCCGCCCACCAGACAGCGAGCTTGCAGCGCGTGTCCCCGCCATCCTCCCTGCTATGCCTTTCACACAGGCCAGACTTGCACGCCCGGAGACAATGAGCTTCGGCAGGTTCTCAGGAAGTTCCCAAAGCGTCCGCTTTAGAACTGTAAGCCTCATGTGTCCTGCAGGCCAGTGAAAAGGTGGGTTAGCTCAGCTCACCGGGCCGAAGGCCCCCTGTACGCACATACTAGCACGTACGTGTGAGGAGCCCTCTGCCACCTTCATCTGGCTGGGATCCCCCAGGCTTTCTTTCCCTTCGGCTTCCTGTCAGGGAGGGTGATGACAGGGAAGAATGTGAGCAGGAGTTAGGACAAGCCAGGACCTGGGAACCTTACCCGTGGCTTTTTAGCACAGGACCTGGGAGAGCTGGAGGGCGAATCCTGCCTCCAGGTACCGGCTGTGTGGCCGCTGAGCTTCTGCAGGAGACTGTGTCCCCTCGCCGGGCTGCTGTGTGACTGGTAGATGCCGCAGAAATAGCACAGCCCGTGCGTTCACACGTGCATCCATGCATGGAGGTCAGCATGCCGGCTGGCCGTGCTCCTAGGCACACAGTGTTCAGTGCATCTGTCCGCGCGCCTCTGGGCCTGAGGCGGTGCCCGCTGCCTTTGCTTTTACAGCAGGATGCAGGGCGGAGGTCCTTGATGGGCTGTGGCACGAAGCCACTAGATTCTCAGAGGGAGAAAAGCCAACCATTTCTTCCCCACAGCCAGCCACACAGAAGGCACTGCCATCTCTGTTAAGTAGCTGCTTTAAAGCAAAAACTGGGGAAAGGAGCAGAGGTTAGAATTGTGTGTGTGCTTTAAAACATCACTCTAAAGACTTGGTGGTGGTTTTCTACCCATTCAGATTTCACTGAGAGGCAGTCCCATGTGGTGGGCGGAGGGTGGACTCTGCAATCAGTCTGCCAGGGTCCAGCCTCTCCCCACCTTCCACTGCACCGCCTTCCCAGGCCGTGGACAACTAAGCCTCTCAACCTCCATCTCCTGATGTGTCTGAAGGGGACAGTAACACAGAGCCACAGTTCCCAAGTCTAAAGAGCTCTGACAGACAAGGGGTTTGGGGAGTCACTTTGCTGATAAACCTGCCCTGACCCACCATGAAATCACTGGTAGGGTTTGCCCAGCTGACTGTGAATCTTGTACGTTTGCTGCAGGGACATCACTGTGCTCATTATAGGACACTTCCCCAGGCCCTAAGAGGGTTATCACACAATGTAGGATACATGACCCTGTTACTTTTCTAAAATCCCGAATATTCTAACTCTGAAGCACAGAGCTGAGGAGGAGGCCTGTGGACCAGCCACACTCCCACCAGCCATAGGCTCGCCGTGAGATTTCTGTAATGATCCTCGTGAAGAACTGAGTGCGGACAGGCATGTAGGAAGTGCTCGGTTGCTACTGGCTACCCTGAGTCAGACTGTGGATGAACTGATGCAGGGAAAGGCTGTCACAGCTCAGTGCAGGAGAAGGAGCAGTGGAAGCAGCGTCCCCTGCTGTGAGCTGTGTGACCTGCAGCAGGTCCCTTTATGTCTGAGCCTCAGTCTCCTCGCCTGGAAAACGCAGCGTTGGACTAGATCAGGGTTCTCAACAAACGTTTAGATGCCCAGATACTATCCATCCTGAAATGAAATGCAGAGATGATGTAACCTCTCCTTTTGAAAACGTTTTTACAAAGTAAAGTATTGCTATCAGTGTAACCCAGGCTCAGTTAGCATTGCACTTACAACAATATGTGAATGCCTGGCTCTAGCTGTTCCAGAAGGAATAGTGGGTCATGAGGTGCTTGCACCTACATGATCAGTAAGTTTGGGTGTGAGAGCACAGTCCTCAGCTGAATATCGTAAACACTCTGTAGCTGGCATTTTGAATTAAAGTAACTAAGAAAATAGGTAAGTGGACAGACACACGGGCAGGCAGAGTTACCCCCCAGGCCAGCCTGCGTGCAGCCGACAGGGATGTGATTCATTGGCTGCCCAGATACCATGAGCAGTATTAATGCTGTGAGTTTCCAAAGTCGTGACACTTACTCCTTGTAAAGTGCTGGCCAAATGAACTCTCACTCTCAGTTTACAGAGTGGTGGAGTTCTTAGAACATTCAATGTGTGTAATTGAGGTCTTTGGTTTTTATATAACGTTGAGTCCTGACATCAGATGATTAGACACAGGGTTACATGTAACGAACATCCAGTGGGATATTTGAAAATCATGTAAGAGGTCAAATGACTCATCTGTGTGTAGGACTGTCCTTTCCACGGTTGTAAGTCCAGTGTCTCTGACTCCTGTCTCCCAATTGCCCGTAGCTCCCTTGTGACTGTTGTCAAAACCAAAAATGTCCCCACTGGCCTAGCAGATGCCTTGGGCTCTGTAGTCCTGATGGGGCCCAGGCTGTGCCCTAATAGGGCTGCCCTACTGACGTTCATCTTCCCTCTCTGGCTGCTGTCTAGGCCCAGCTGATCGCACAGTCCATAGGGCAGGCGTTCAGCGTGGCTTACCAGGAATTCCTCAGGGCCAACGGGATTAACCCTGAGGACCTCAGCCAGAAGGAGTACAGCGACCTGCTCAACACCCAGGACATGTACAACGACGACCTGATCCACTTCTCAAAGTCAGAAAACTGCAAAGATGTAGGTACTTTCCTGGTCAAAGCTCCAGGGGGTGGGGGTGAGGGTGGGATAGAGAGCGAGCTGTCAGGACATTGCATGAGGCTCTGTGATGAAAGACTAGCAGAGGGCTGTCACTATGAGCCAGGGCCTCCCGCAATCCTGAGCTAAATTTGGGGTGGGTTCCAGGGGCAGACAGGACCTGCACTCTACCTTACCCAGCCCACAGGTCATATTCCGAAGCACTGGGTGTTGGGACACAATTCAGCCCATACCCGGGGTGTCTCCCATTTGGTTCAGGGCAGTTCTCCAGGGAAGGGGCCAGCCGTGAGCAGCTGAGAGGGTAGGGGACACCAGTCTGTGAGGGAGGCTCTGTCGGGCCCCGACAGCCACCACTACTGAGCAGGTTTGAGCATATGGGTGTCTGTGAACAGGAATTAATAAATTCACACACACTCTGGTGAGTCTTCCACAAAGTGTCCCAGCCCTTTGTGTGTGTCTGCAAACCTCGCCAGCCAGCAGATCTCCCAAACGAGCTGTCCCCTCCGCCCTGCCAAGGAAGGCTACAGACAGTGGCACGCTTACAGCACAGCCTTCCTGTTTGCACTCCCAGCCTTTTGGTGGTGATAACTTCAGTATCTTTCCTTTTTCTTTCTCTTCAGCTTTCTCCTTGCAGAGAAGTGTCTCTAATGTATATGTATTTACTTTTAACTCAAGAATCTTAAATGTTGGAATTTGTGAAGCATTGTGGAATAGGGGAACCGGCGCATAGAATCCAAAAGCTATTTCTGGAAGCCATAACTCACCACCAAAGCTCTCACCTACACAGTTTCTCCCCCTCCCGCCCTCCCCAGGGACTACAGGGGAAAAAAAACACTCCGTGCCCTCGTGGTTGTATTGCCAAGTAGAAATTGCTAATGTGGAACGAGAATAACAAAGATGGGGGTGGGCCCGTGCTAAGTTGTTTCTTGCACACTCCGATGCCATGGAATACGGAGAAGACGGGACCTGTAGGTTGGAGTCTCGGGGAAATGTCTTTCTGCTTTAGCCACGGCAGGAAGAGGGCCAGTGCTCTGGAGGGTTGCCGATTCAGGCTTTCTAAGTGTCTCTCTCCTTCCAGGTCTTCATAGAGAAGCAGAAAGGAGAGATCCTGGGTGTGGTGATCGTGGAGTCTGGCTGGGGCTCCATCCTGCCCACCGTGATCATAGCCAACATGATGCATGGCGGGCCTGCCGAGAAGTCGGGGAAGCTGAATATCGGCGACCAGATCATGTCCATCAACGGCACCAGCCTGGTGGGCCTGCCTCTGTCCACTTGCCAGAGCATCATTAAGGTACCTGGGGATGGGGTGAGGGAAGTCCACTTCTGTGGCAGGCCTGAAGCATGCCTGCAACTCAGCCATTAATATTCATGAGCATAGTCCCAGCGTTGGGCACTGAGGACACACAGAGACCAAAGGCACAGGCTTGCACTCGGCTGTTTACCATCAAGTTACTATTTATAGACTCCTCCCTGAAATCGTTTTTACATCAAAGATGGGATGGTTTGCTCAGATAACACCGGTGTCTGATACTGTGCCCATGAACAGGCATCACTAATCAGTCACAACGCTCTCTCCACTGTCTTAGAATTGTCCTCAGCTCAGTCACCTAGCCACCCCCCCCCCCCTCGGCAGTGGTTCTCAGTGGGGAGCTCTCAAATCCCATCCCTGGGAGACATACAGCAAGGTCTAGAGATAGTTGGGGTTGTCACAACTAGGGAGGAGGGCATGCTGCTGGCACCCATTGGGTAGAGGCCGGGGTTGCTGCCAAGCACCCTTCAATGCAGGGGACAGCCCCACAGCAAAGGCCCACCCAGCCCACATGCCCACAGTGCTGAGGGTGAGAGGGCTAACTTAGGCAGGTAGGAGTTCAGATGGGGGGAGAGAAGTCAGGAGATGAGTGAGATGGGGCTGGGGCCTGGGTGGGAATAAGCAGGACCTCGTGAGGACTGGAGGGGCTGCATGCCAGCCCATGACACACCTGCCAGGCAGTGCCAGGCCCTTCAGAGTCACCCCCTCTCCCTGCTCATGATAGCCCATTATGGAGGGGACAGCAAACACCTGGTTTGCAGATGGGTCATCAGAGACTCTGAAGGTGACTT